CCCCACCTGCCCCACAGCTGCCTGGTCCACTGAGGGGTTTTCCTGGGACCCTCTGCCTGGGTCTCTGCACCTCGAAGCAAGAAGGGCAGCCCAGCACCAGGTGGGCTTTCAGGAGGGGTGGCAACACGGGCTTTGTTCTGGAACAGCCCGCCAGCGGCGGCCCCATAACGGGAGGTGGCAGGGCTGTTGAGGCTCTCTGTCCCTGGATGTCAGTCACTTCGCTGGGTTTCCACCGTGGCCCTCCAAGTCAGCTTGTTGGCTGCGTCAGGCTAATCCTGCGCATTGAGGCTTGATGGGTTAGGGAGCGCCTGTCAGTCACTGCCGAGAGACAGCGCTGACAGCCACGGCCCGGGCCTGCATTGTGCTGGGGCTTTAGCGGGGGCTAATCGCGTGTCTTCCTTAAGAAAACATCACTTAGTCTGCCGGCCCGGAGCCCTGGATGAGACCCTGCTTGTCAGTGCACAGAAGAATGCCTTTGCGTCTTAATGGGCCTGCGGGAGCCCAGCTCACTGTGTGAAGCGTGCGCGTGAGCTCTCAGACGCCCACTTAAGATGCCAAGTGCTGGGCCTGGCCCTCCCACAAGTGCAGCTCCAGATCAGCCATGTCCCATTTAACGCATGGCTGGTGGCATGCCCGGGCTGGATCCTGTGGGTGGGGCTCACCTCTAGGCCTAGGCCTGCGAGTTTTTTGCCTTGGAGGCACCGCCAGGCCGGGAGGTCGGCTGACACCTGCTGCCTGGGCTCTGGGGGGTGGCTCTGGGCAGCAGCCAGGCAGGGAGCGGTGGGCCTGTGGATTCCTTGGTCCTGGGATCAGCCCCTGCAGGCGAGCACAGAGAAAACCTGCAGTGGTCTTCGTGCTTTTGTGGTGATGCAGAGGATGCAGCTGTGTGGAGCCCTGCTGTACACGCTGGGCCGCACTCTGTTGGGAGGGCCTCTGGCCTCCCTGCCTGCCCAGGCCACCCGGAGTGCCTGCTGCTGGTGGCCTGAGAGCCACCCACATGTCCGTGTCCTCACTGGCCCCTCCAGGTGGTTTTCCCTGCATGCGCCTTCCCAGAACACACCGTGCACCGCACACCTGCTGTCCGTGACCTCGCTCTCCCTCGCTGTGTGGCCCATTCAGCCAGCCTGCGCATCCCCTAGGAGGGACAGAAACATCCACCACACACATCCCAGGCAGCCATGGGTCCTTGGGCAGGGGTCCAGCGCAGTTCACAAGCAATGGGTGCTGCAGGCAAATAGCTGCCACAGAGCCCAGCACTGCTGCCCCGGGCCCTCTCAGGACGGGTGCTGAACTGGCAGGCGCCTGGCTGCGGATCAGGCCCAGGGGACCCTCTCAGGACCGGTGCTGAAGTGGCAGGCACCTGGCTGCGGGTCAGGCCCAGGGGACCCTCTCAGGACCAGTGCTGAACCGGCAGGCTCCTGGCTGCGGGTCAGGCCCAGGGGACCCTCTCAGGACCGGTGCTAAAGTGGCAGGCACCTGGCTGCGGGTCAGGCCCAGGGTGCCCTCTCAGGACCGGTGCTGAAGTGGCAGGCGCCTGGCTGCGGATCAGGTCCAGGGGACCCTGCAGGCACTGGCCATGCCCACACCCCACTACTCTGATGGGACTCCGGCCCAGAGCCCCACCCAGGCTGCTGCACAGCCAGGGCAGGAACCAGGGCCCGGCAGGGCAATGTGGGCGAAGCGGCCACTCTCCCTGGCTCCCTTGCCAAGCTCGGGACCCGTGTGCTGGGCCAGTGGTGGTTTTGATCCTGTGTTTCCCTGTGGACGGCCTGGGAGTGTGGGATGGAGCCAGAGCAGGGTGCTTGCCACCTGGCCCCGGGGCCGCCTTCCTGCTGCCTTCACATGTTTTTATGGTGCAATGAAAATATGATTTTAATTCCTCAGATGGTTCTGTGTAACCTGCACTTACCCCCGGCGACATCCTGCACGCTTCTGCTGTGGCACTGGATTTTGCAAACATGGGGGGAGGAGTGGGCGGGGGTGCTGCCCAGCCGGGCCGAGTGGCCCTTCTCTGCCGCACCCTCCACTCTGACATGGGGCAGTGTCACCCTCTCCTGCTCCCAGCACCCTTCCCCAGGCCCCCTGGGTGGTCCACATGCAGGGGTGGGGACACACAGTTATGGAGGACTTCGAGGGCCAAAGCAGGGCAGCAGGGGAGGGCAGGGCCTGGCAGGGCTCTGAGGAGTAGGCAGGGGGTGCAGCAGGGGTCATCAGCTCAAGGGGAGGAGCTGACCAAGATGCTCAGACCGCAGCCCCCCTCTCTGAGCACGCTGCAGCCTTGCTGGGTCCCAGCCTCACTTGGCAGCCATCGGGTGCCTCAGCCCTGCTCTCCTAGCCGTGAGGTGACCTTAGCGCCACCTGGGCCCTCAGGCGGAGCCGCCTTTGTGAGAGCAGCGGCATCAGGTGGGGCTGCATTTGAGATCACCTGTCTCCTGGCCTCAGGTTTGGCCTCCTCCCACGGGGTCTTGGCACATGAGCTCGCTCAGCTGACACCTGCTCGCCTCACCTGACGCACGGCCACTCCAGCCCCAGTGCAGCAGCTCCAGGTGCTGCCAGTGCCTGGGCCCTGGCCCCCTCCCCAGGTTGGAGCAGGCCCCAGGGCAGGCCTGAGGCCCCCACCTACCCCTCACCCACTGGGCAAGAACTGGAGGTGACCAGGACCTTGCATGAGGGATGCCCTGAGGTGGCTGGGCAGTGTGCTCATGAGGCTCCAGGTGTGTGGGCCACCTCAGGTTCAGGCTCCACCTAGTGGCGTCACTGCCCTATGCTCACGTCTCTCCCCAAGAGAGCAGGTTGGCACCTGGCTCCAGTGGGTGGCATTGTGAGAGGTGTGTTGGTGTCTGCATTGGGCTGGTGGGTGGGGACCACTTTTGCCTCCCAGAGCTCAGCTGCCCGAGCCTCCTGGTCCTGGACCCAGGCTGCTCCCCCACCCCGTGTCCCTCTGGGAGCCACTTACCCTCCCCAGGGTCCCTGGGTGCCCCTGCCCTGGGCAAGAGCTCCTCCGCCCAGCCTGATGAGACCTGCTGGCCTCTGTCCACCTGCCCGCCCTTACTCATTGCCACTTCCTGCCCTTGGAGGGTCCATGAGGGCCAGTGTGGGTCAGTCATTGCCAGACACGGGGATCCCCACCCTCTGGAGCAGGAAGCAGCAGGGGTCTGCACCCAAAGCCAGTGGTTCAGCACCGGTGGCCAGGGCAGGTGGTGCAGCCCCTGCAGGTCTCAAGGCCTGGGCACAGGGTCCACTGAGGCAGAGCATGTTCCTCCATGGGCCCAACCCCAGTCCCATCAGGAAGCATCTCCCTCTGAACTGCTTCTCTATCCAGATGGGCCTGGGCCAGGTCTTGCTCCTGGGCAGTACAGGAGGATGCCCTCTTCTTGCCCCAGATGCACAGGCTCTGGGGGCCTTGGCCCAACTCACATCGGGTGGAGACTAGAATGGGGATATGGTGGGGTGCTGTCCCTCTCTACAGCCCAGGTACCCCCACCTGGGTCTGCTCCAGCAGAGCCTAGACGTGGTCCTGCAGGAGGGCCTCCCCATGCCACCAGGGACCCAACAGCTCATCCACCCAGCTCCCTGGCCTCTACCTTTGCCTGCTCGGCCAGGCTGGGGAGCCAGTTGCCGAGAGAGGTTTCCATAGAGTCCCAGGCAGCAGCCCACGCCCATCCTGGTATGGCCACTGGCACGGAATACCCCTCCCATGGGCCCCGAGGCTGAGTCCTTGGGCTAGCCCCCCTCTACCTCCCTGGCCCGCCCCTCCCTAGCCCTCCCAGTGGAAGCCCAGAGCTCAACAGGGCCTGGCACGGGAGCGTTCTATACCCAGCCTGGACTCCTTCCTCTGCCACTGTCTTTAAGCTGGGCTCTCTGTCCAGGTGCTTCGTGGCCTTGGGAGCTGCCTGAGGTCCTTCCTGTACCAGGCAGGGGCATAAATAAATAAACAGGTACACGCTAGCGTCCTGGCTGCCACCCTAAGGAGAAAGCAGGCAGGGAGTAACTGGCTCCATGTTCCCCATGCCCCTCTGCACCCGGGCTCGGGGGGCTCC